AATAATAATTGCCAATACAACAATAGTGATCTGACGGTTTTAATACGATTGAGATTATTATACTGATGCATAGGCCTACAAGTGTCCATGTAATTTGTCCGGCTACATATCGAGGCGTGACGTTATGATTTACAAGGGCAGGATACACTTGTTGTTAATAACGACAATGAGTGGTATTTCTGATTTTTGGTGCTACCACTTACTCACTCACTTACTCACTCACTTACATACTCTGGACCATGATGGTCATTCCGTTGTGTTGGTTCTGGCCGTAAATGTAGTCCGATTAAATATCATTTACTGAATTGAGCAAAGGGATTATATTGTATCGAATAATGACTTGTTTTTGGTCCTTTCATTCGAAGGTAGTCGGGCCTAGGGGCACCAGAACCCATGAAAGGGATCAAAGGGGCGAATCCCCCGAAACTCTAACAATTTAGGCATAGCCTTTAAATTTAATCGAGTTTCGCATTCCGAAAAAGAGGCCGATTTTCCTTTTTCTTGTTATTTTCTCAGCCCCTTCATTGGCGCCACCACTGAGAAACAATATCAACCAGAATAATCAAACACTTATTTAATTAATTTCAGAAGGCATAAACAAGTTGATGTATTTAGTCACTCCCCCTGTTTTCATGATTTAAAGAAATACGATGATTAGGTATGAATTGTGCAAATCTTCAATTTGATTAAAATTCAATTAAACGTGAGAATAGGTTGCTAAGAGAAAACTGGACATAGGAGAAGGATTTCTCTATGAGAGCACTAGGCCTACTTGCCTGTTACCCGTGCGTCTACGGGTGCGTCCCCCAGCCATTCAGGCCTCCAGAAAAAAGGGCTATAATTGCTTAAATAAGAACAAAATAAGAATAAATTTAGCCTGAGGTAAATGTCAAGAGATTTTATTTAAAATGAAACTAGAAAACCAACAAATATCTTTACCTTTTGCACAGTGGTGTCACTATGTAATACCGTACCCTCTATATAATAAACTACAGTACCGTAATATAGTACTGCACAAAAACTTGTTTATGCTTGAAAAGTGTGTAAAATAAGAACAAGATAAGAAAATTTTGAGCGTGAAATTGGAAAAAAAAAAAAAAAAAAAAGAACACTAAGCCAGGGCAAAATTTTACTTGTTATAAAATAAAAGTGTATTGGTAGTTGGTAAAGGAAGGTGCTACGAATAAACACTTGTTGTTATTATAACCACGGATATGCCCTAATTCAAATAATGGCCATGGATGACCAGTCATCCCTGATTTTTATGAAAATTCAAGTTGGAATGGAATTATTGTTCGTCAGTAAATCAAAACATAGATGACATCGGATTTTTGTTTCTTTTGTTTCTTCGCCACATACGTTATACAATCATAGCAAAGATTATTCTGTATATATTTTATAACATGATGATGACGATGAGGATGACGATGATGATGATGATATTAAAAGAAAACCAATAAGTACATGGATAGAACCAAGGAGGAATAACCATGATAGAACTGAGTCTAGTCGGGAACTGAGTTCCAGGATTGACATAAAAGGCCATTTGTGTCCTAATTTTGGAAAAGCCACTCACTTTAGCATAATGACTTCATTGTTTCTGTTATAAGTAGGCCTATTTGATAAAACGGCCTTCGTGACTCAATTCAGTTCAGTACAGTAATCAGTTAGTGGAACTGACTTCAGGAACAATGGCACAAACCTGTACATCTGTAATACCATAATACAATCAAGTAACAATTATACAGAGAACAAAAATTAAAATGAAATAAACAAACAAATATTGATTGGCGAAAAGACTATTAAACATTTGTAAAGTCTAAAGTATTACATAAAGTTGTCTGCATTATCAAATTTAATATAAAAAAGCGTCACATAAAATATAATGGAACAATATCATCAAAATACATCAAACTGCCTAAAACATGTATTTTGATAAAACTAAATTATCAAATCTGATTGGTTGTTGTGATTTGCAGAGCTTGCTTATTGGTCAAAAGGTGTTTTCTAAAAGAAATCTACAACTCGTTCAACTTTTTTTTATACAATTCGAAATTTGCATTATCAACTAAGTTCTGTCCACATTATCAGGTGGGTATGATGTGACGTCATCATGCACATCTTTTGTCAAGATAACGTTGATGTTGTGTTCAGAGCTTTGTGTATGCTATTTTGTGGTTTGTATCAAATTCTTGTAGCATGAATTTTATTATTTTTATATATTTCATTGTTTTTTGGTTTTTTTTTTTTGTTTTTTTGTTGTCAAAGGACCACAATGGAAATATTTTTTTTTCTTTTTTTTTCTGTTACACTTGTTATAGCCAGATTATCTTTTTAGTGTTTCTCGTGTCTATTTGTTTTGTAAGGAAAACTTTTAAATTTCTTGCCGTTTTGGTTTCAATCGAATCGAACAATAAGTAATGATATGTTTAATCATCTATCAATATTCTATATATTATATCATTATTTAAAAAAAGACATGTTTATAATTAGTTATCAAAACATAGTCTTACATGAGTTGAATATATTATAAGGGTAAATTAGCCTTCAGATATTAGGTAAATTATTAAAGTAGACTTAAATCACAATTTACAGTGCAATAGAAAAGTAGAAAATATAGTTTTGCTTTTTTTTTTTTACTAGCAGCAGGAGGATGAAGGAATGATGACGGACTGCTGCTTAAGACGTCACCCAAAGTAGCCACACCTCCCTTGGTGGAAGTCGTGGTATTTAGCAACACACAATTCAACTTCATTATGACAAACGAACGAGTCACAAGGGGCACTGTGACCACGAAGTCTGCGAGCTCATCACTTCTGTTCGGTTGCCCTCCTATATGTCCACATTATGCGCAAATGAGTTTGGTATGAAAACATTCGGATCAAACATAAACATTTTAAATCAGCAAGGAAATTGCGTCATTTTGTGAAATTATTGACAGACAATCCAATCGATAGATAGATGGCGTTACAATACGAACCTTGTGACATATGTAGCAGCACCTATGGGTGCCATTTCATGACAGACACGATGATGCTTTTAATTTCCTCTGGGTTCTTTTGGTCAGAGCCATATATCAAGGCATCTCACTATAGCTTAACAATAATAGGCCTACATACAGTAGGCTATTTAATGGTAGAAGTTGAGCTACTGCGCTTGAACCATCAGATTTAATATTTGGAACTTTTTTTTTTGGTTGTAAGTAATTAGTAATAATTTGAAAATTAGGCCTATGACTTACCGCTAGACGTTTAGATTGGTTGGTCATCTATGTCTATGGGATTTTTTGTATTCAAAAACCCGTGGGCTTAAAAACTAAATTAATTTATAGGCCTATCAATTTTGTCTTAGTTGTAAATTGAAGTTATATGTTATTATAATGTAATTAACCATTTGTAACCACGATGAAAACTTTATAGCTTTATTAGGCCTATTAACTGAGGCTCCTGTAGTAACACAGCAAAATAGGCAACAGCACCAGATTACAAGCGCTATCAAAATATTAATTCGTTATAATTTACAGTCTGTCTCTTATACACATCTAGATGTGTATAAGAGACAGCAACAATAGTGCCCCTGTATCTGTGTGGATGGTTGGCCTGCCATTCCCAAAGAATCCAATGAAATCATGATGATTAGGTCATTAATCATGGTAATAATGAATATGAATTATATTTTTATATTTTATTGATGAATTTTAGAAACATTGAAGAAATTCTTGCTAAAAAGGTTGGAAATGTTAAAAGAGTGACAATCATCATCATTCAGATGATAATGTTGATTAAGTTATTAATTATAGTGATAATGAATATGAATTTTTTTTTATCCTATTCTGTAATGACTACATGACTAAAACTCATCCTGCCATAACTCAGAGCCACGATGGGACAAGTGAGACTGTCTGCTTTGGCACTACTGTACTAGTATTGAGCGTGATGAAGCAGATAACATTGCTAACTTTGATCATGTAAATAACTTATTTGCAAAAGCACAAATTCAGATGCGAGTTTAAACACTGTTACAAATTCAGCAACTTACAAGACTACTATATATAAGATAAATTTAGAGAATAAGAATACTAAGCTGCATGCGAAAAATACAGCAGCCTTACAAATTAGGATATTAATGGTAAAGTTGTATACAAAGTTCCGAACATCGCAATGCAGTTTCAATAGTAAGAAACAGGGGTGGCACGACCGGGGGATACCCACCCCTTCGGGGATAGCTTTCCCATGCGAGCTAGAACAATAATAGTTATTTGGGTTTAAATAATGTTATTTAGACAGTACCGTACTTATTTCTACAGTGCATGATATGGACGTACGGTATGGATATGCATAAAGTCTATACAAACAATATCAATTTATTTCAAAATATTATTATAATTGAGGGGGAAGGGGGCGCAATTTTCTATTCTTTCCCCCGGGCGCCAAAACCTATAGCTACGCCACTGCTTCAGACGGCCTCTGATTGCACAAGACGATTATAACAATACAGTTTCCTCGTGACATTTGAACATTAATTTGTTGTTCAAATGCAACGTTTATAAATTTAATTGTTCAGAACCAACCTGACCTTCATTTTCAGAGATGAGTTCGAATGACGTCTCGTGTTCGAAGCAGTCTCATGTTTCTTTTGTGAACTTGCTTTTGCGTGGTGAATATCGTTAAGAATAATGCTAGGCGTAGGCCTATATAAGATGTGGAAATCATGCGAAATGCAATTTGATAAAAAATAAAAATAAACAAGTTTGCAGACACAGATTGAAACAGAGTTGACTTTTTACTACTAAAACCCCTTAAATCGATAGTTATGCCAGTAGCATCTGAATGTATATTTTTGAAGCGCCAAATAATTAGGCCTGGGAAAATTTCAATTTAATATTAAAGATAACATACTTAAATATCCAATCCAAGTACAGCTGTATTGAATAATATATTTCCAAGTTACTTTAAAATACCCAAATGAAGATCTCAGTTAAAATAAGCATAGATCTACAACTAACTTTAAGGTTCAAATTTTTAAAAAATGAATAATTGTCTACAGCACAATGATAGGACAGAATAAATAAAATTCAAAGGTACGAAGATGGATGTGGTATTGTGTCATAAAATAAGACCTAAAGCAGGATACCACCTAGGTTTGTTCACAACCCATAATATCTGTGGTTTTATGAATAAGCACGTGAAACGTGACATTCTCAAAAATCAGCAGTTAATCAGATGATTACCGTTTCATTATCATTTCATGAGAGTTCAGGGCTGTATGGGGAAGAGACAGGGTCGGTATGGTTCGCTATATCCATCTGATAAAGCAAGCTACCCTCCTCGCACAAAACCCCATAAAAAATGATGAAATAAACAATTTACATGCTAGAATAAATTAAGTCAGAATAAATACAAATCAAAGGTACGAAGATGAATGTGGAATTGTGCCATAAATTAAGACCTAAAGCAGGATACCACCCCGGTTTGATCACAAATCATAAAATCTGTGGCTTTATGAATAAGCACGTGAAACGTGACATTCTCAGATCAGCAGTTAATCAGATGATTATCGTTTCATTACCACTTCATGAGAAATCAGGCCCGTATCCGGCGTGGGGGGGGGGGTATGGTTCGCCCTATCCATTTTTTTCGAGCAACCCATCTCTGATAAAGCGAGCTACCCTCCTCGCACAAGAAAATCCCCCCAAAAAATGAATAAATTACATAATACTGAATATGGATTCTGGAATCCACCAGTGGTTGCTCCAGAAATTTGCTAACAAGGGGTACGACATGAGGGTCTGAACCAAGGGCCAACTAGAGCCTCGACCAGGGTCCCAGAATAAAAATCCCAGGTAGGCCAGCCAGGTTCATTTCATTGGGAGAGCAGGGATAGCGCAAGCCCCTGTTGAAAACCTGCACCCCCCAATCGGGGGAAAAACACAATTCGTTGGGGAGAAAAAAAATTATATGTATTTTCTACATATTAGTCCTCTAAAATCGATTAAATGATTTGAAACCCCTGAATTGTAAAAATGTTCTAGGGCTTCGCGCCCCCCTGGACTACTATCTAAACATTTTAAGCGACACTCGACCATACCCATGAAATCTGCCACCTTGTCGGGGCATTGTCCCATCCCCCCCCCCCCCAGTGTCGGCCAAATCCTGGCACCACCGGTGGGGAAGAGTCGTTATTGGTAGTATGCCCCAAATTGTGCTTTTAGACCATATTATTGGCAGCCGCAACCAAAATAACATTATTTGGATAGGCAAGTTGTTATTGTTATCGTGGCAAATTATTACTGGAACAGTGTCCAAGCATGTTGACGGGGGTTGCTTACCCCAAACACCGCTGGTGCCGCTCCCCCTCTACAGAATAATCAATTTAAAGGTACAGTATAAAAGCAATCATGCAGTAACTTGAGTCATCAGAGTTCAGTAGGCATAATCAAGGGTTGTATCACTGCTGTAATTTGGCTGTAGTAATATACTGTATTGTAAGAGTAGTAAAAATAATCATGTACTACAATCCTCAGTCATCCAAAATGGTTATACACAGTATATAAGCATACAATGTGTTCTACACTGCACTTTTTACTTCATTTAATATTATTACAGCGTTATTTCTCTTCTCTCAATTATATGCCAACTGTACTTGCTCTCTAAAATGGTTATACACAGTAGTATAGAATGTGTTCTATACTGCATTATTTAGTTCATTTAATATTATTACAGTATTATTTCTTTTCTCTCCATTACATGCCTAATGTACTTGATCTTCCTTCACCTCACCACATTTGGATCACATTAAATAAACACAACTCAAAGCTAGATGTTAAAATGAATTTATTTCCTTTATTTAAATGTCCATTAAGGTCCGTAGCACATCAAACCCTCTGAACGGCAAAAAGAAAAAAAAAAAAAACCAAAAACAACAAACTGACAATAGTATCAGCACAATTTACAGAACATCAAAACAGCACCACAGGATTCACAACATACGACAGTATGGGGTAAACTCTACTGAAAATGATAGGTGATAACCATACTTGATTTTATATTTTGAACTTTATTCATTTGAACGAATACGGTAATTTGAATATATCGATGGCTTCGAGTATCACTTTCTTCAGTTTGTCCCATACAGTTTTATGTAAAAACAGCACCATTTCCAAGTGCTGTATATAAATTGGGCTAAAGACCATAAAATACCACAACACACGATTAGTGCATTAACACATACAGTACAGTAGTAGGCTTTTGTAGAGATTTCACTGTATACGAATTGTGAATGTTTTTAAACATGTACAGTACCTTCAGCTTTGTTTTTTTTTTTTTAATCTTGAATTTTGTTTTGTGCTTGATAAATACAACCTGTGCAATAAAAATCACATGGTATTATATACCGTAATTAGTGTTTATGACAGCCATTTGATCTACATTACTATTTTTATAATATACAATTTATAGTTTTATGTTCAAGACCTAAATTGGTTTCCATATAGAGTATAGCCAAATTGTTAAATGTTTAAAAAACAAAACTGTTTCTGAACTGTCTCGGGCAATGCATTTTATAGGCATTGTTATAATTTTGCAGACAAGACTGCGACATCATACCTGACAGCATTGCATAATACAATGGTTGCATTATGCTACAATGCTAACATAATTTTACTGTACAAACAATCCTGCACCATATCTTGGCAACGTATTAACAAATAACACATTCCTTTAAAAATAGTTAATTAATTATTACAAGCCTACTGTCAATACACAAACTTGGTTATTATATACCCATGCATAGCTGCACTCCAGAAAAAAACATTCAGATGTCCTATATATATATATATAATAATATGGCTTGAATTGAGAATGTTTATTTACTATTCATAGACATTTTTGAGGTCTGTTTTTCCCCATCTGTGTTTACAGGAAGTACTTGTGAATAATGTCAATATTTTGATTGTTAAAAAAAAACACAATGCCGCACACAAGACCAGATCCTGAAAACCATTGCACCACAAATACACCACCAAGCATTCTATTTGTGGAGTTTAGACAGTGATGCTACAGGTAGACAACAGACTAGACACTAGTAAATACTTTATGGCCAGAGACAAGTGCATTATGATTTATGGGGGAAGGGGAGCAAATGAGCAAAATTCTATACTGTACACTGTATTTGCATGTTTCTGCTCTTGTATTATCAACTGCCTCCCTGAATGCTGCTGGCTGGGAATATTGTACTATGTTAAATAATTTCATTCATTAAACCAGATCTCCCAGAAGTAGCTGAATTCCAAACTTGAAAAATTAATTGTAAAAAAAAAAGAAAAAAAAAAACAACAAAAAAACTTTGGTTTACACACAAAAAAATTGCACAAAACATTTCTTTTAGAAAAATTCATGATAACTCTTGAAATTAATTTTATCAAACCTTCCTTCTGACACAAATCATATCTCTAAATATACAAAAGTGTATAAGAAATTAATTACAATATGAAAGCCTATATGCATAATTTAATTATACTACTGTATTTCTTTTACCTTATAAAAAAAATAGCTATAATTCCATAATTTTGTATAGTGTTTATGAATACATTTTTCATGAATTAGGCTCAATTTTTTTCCATAAGCATCTTACTGTATTCCAAAATACTTCAAAAACATATTTTTTAAATATTTCTTTCTCTCTAATTACGGTATATACTGTACAGTTCCAAAGACACACAGCCTGCCTAAAATGTATAACAGTAATGATATATATGCTAAAAGGTTAACAGAAACTGACAAGCAGTTTGAAGTAACCAACTGGCCAATAAACAACTGTTCAAATTCGTCAAACTTCCTGATTACAAAGTCTAGCCTTACAAATGCCAGCTTATTAAGTCAATAAATATTCACCGCCTGGACAGAAAAAACAAAAAACCTCCTTCATTTCATGATACTTTGTTTATAAATCATATAAAATTAATTTTATATCATTCATATATATATTATTGCAAAAGATTAATACTTTAATATGCTTCCATACACACAATACATAGTAAATGATCTAGAGATGTTTCTGCTGAGGTTTAACTTAATAACGTTCCACACATTCCAAGGAATATTTAGTCAAGAGTACCGAACTCTCTGGACTTTATTCCATACTTTGCATATATCACTCTAACTCATGCTGTACTTGCATATTGTAATTTCATTCAAAATAGTATTAAGGCCACCAAAAAAATTGTTGATCGTCCTGTTTCCAAATGAGAAACAATTTTGAGTTAAGGAACTTAAAAAATAGTGTTACAGGACAACAGACATGGGTACATGTTCACAATGGCAGGCAAACACTCCATCAGCCCACAAACCTATTTCCATTCTGTGCGATCAGTTAATGATGAAACATATCTGATTGGCATTCTAATTGTCATTGCAAACAATCTGTCATTGTGACTTCATCATATACGGTAGTGCAATTACAACTTCCTGAACCTACACCTGTATCAAAATGGATTTAAAGTGTTAATAGGATTTCTGAAAATTTATCCCCATCCCCTCACCAAAAAAAAGTTTACAAGGAAAATTTCCCTAAAGTATGGCAGGGGACGATCAAAAATTTTTTTTTTCACATGGCCTAAAATAATATATTAATAAAACAAATTGTTTACTCAGGCAATCACAAGCATTGTTATAGCATATCATTAGGTTTTATTTCATCATGGAGCAGATGTAATTTCATCATCATGTTTACAATGTCATCCCCTTCTTTCCACAGCGTGCTTGGCAAAACTGTCCTGAACGCTTTACGTGTCTGCGCGTAACTCCTTGTGTCAAAAGTTTCAAGCTCCCTAACAATCTCGAGCGGATTTGGAACGTTTAGATAAATCCTTTTAATGATCAGTAACACGTTCCTATGATGGTTCTTCCATCCTAATTGTAAACGCAATTGCTTCCATTTGGCTCTTGCATTATTCAAGGTAGTTTCATTCTCCTCTAGACGTATACAACGTTCAATATGCAACTCCATATCATTAATAGTTCTTGGAAAGACATGCGGACGACAAATTTCTTTAGGAAGAACTTCGTTAAAGATAAAAGATTCCAGTCTGAATGAGGCCTGTCCAGCCAGCATGGCCCATTTTTCCATTTCTTTCTTGTCAGCCTCTTCAAGATTACGAGACTTCAGCAATTTAATACTATCTATGTCGATATTCGGCGGGCTAACGGATGAGTCACTGCTGTATGAAATTCCACGTTCCTCCCTAGAATGCATGGCTGGCCCTGAAGTTGGTATCAATTTGTTACCACTTACGAAGTTCATGATAGTTGGCTTTCCCAACATTATTGATGAAATTGCATTGCCTACATAGCAAAAAAAAAATAAAATAAATGAATGATTAATAAAAAAAACATTCTAGGTTATGGTAGGAACATTGAGTAGCTACTGTATTAAAGGTAAAATCTAAATAACTTGGTTCAAAGGTGCTTAGATTAGACAAGAAGTGTAAATAGATGCAAAATCATGAATGACAATTACCAGTTCCATCTAGATCAACAGTACCTAAACAAATATTACCATTCAAAATCGCAATGTCATGCTTATCAACTACAGTATCTTGTTTGTTTATTTTCCCTAATATCTTGTCAAGAATGTTACCTTTGAACAACAGACATATATTTTTGCCTCCCTTCCCTATTAGAGTACTATGTTGGTATGTCACAGTACCATGTATCACTGCTTTGTTACTGAGCAAAGGACCTACAAAGAGGTCATTACGACTTACTGTATCATTTCCACAGGCCATCAGTTTTTTCAAACAGTAAGAATCTAATATTTTGATTAAAAACAAGCAGTAGAACACAAAAACTTAACATTTAGTTATCCTATAGTATATTTAATTGTCAATACAGTATATAACTAAAAAAAAACCAAAAAGATAGTGTTAACTATTCATGTAGTGGTTATTTCAATGAGTATAAATATAAACATTGTTTTGCATAAAAATTACAACAGGATAAATTTGGAAATGTTTGGGATTTCCCAATATACAGACGTGGCCACTGGTAGATACAAAACTGCTAATCCACTACATTGAATATAGGATGTCGATTATTGTGATGAAGAGTTTTAATAAATTAACGACAATCATCGATTTTTACTTTATCAATATTAATCCTATTCAATAAAAAAATTAGATGAACATAATAACTAGTTTTAAAATTCCAGCTCATTCTGCTATACAGTACAGTATATTATGCTTAAATAGATATAAAAAAAATCCACATAATTTCCTATAGATTTTGCCAAATCAAAAATGTTTGTAAATCAGGTAAATCATAAAATGCTGTTTTATGTTCTCCATGCGATTGCATTACAGTAGTTGTTCAGAGTTTAACAGCACTGTAGATTTCTTGATTATTTTGATGTTTTGAGATATTTAGTGTGCTGCGTCTTTTTAGTTTCCTATAAAATTATTTCTAATTTGACCAATAGACATAAATGCTGAAATATTCTGAGTGGGAAATGACAGGTTTAATGCCACCTGTACAGAAAATTGAATATAAAAATAGCTTTCGATAAGATACCCATTTCTGTTTGAATGAATTTACTTTTGCCTGAATCCTACTTCCACTTATAAGTTATCATAGATATATTGAAACATTTTTTTCTCAAGGTCTGCATGTACTGTATGTATTCAAATATTATTCAGTTTTCTGACAATTCCTTGGAATATAAAAGCTAGATTCAAGAGGAAAAACACTTTTTTGATATGTTATACAATGATTTTCTAAGATACAAAGAATGTGTCTAATAATTAGTTTATGCTTTATATGCATTTATTGAATCATAAATACAGGTAGTATGTTTTTCAGTATTCAGTATTGTATTTAACCAAAAGTACCACATAAACATTTATATAGAATAAAATGCTTTAAAAGGCCTACATTTTTGTTTCGCCTATTGTAATTCATTATTTATTTATTTAAAAGACAATAGGGCCCATTGTTCTAGCTTTTTAAAATCAATAGGTGATACCAATTGCAAATTTCTTAGGCAAACAGAATCTCAAATCACCTTGACTTTAATGTACAAACAGGTGATAATAAACTGTTAAATCATTCAGGAAATTGATAGATAATATTGTTAAAAGCAATGCATACAAATATGTTTGTTTTCTTTTGATACAGTATTTCATCATCCAATTGTCCAAAAATATTACATAATATATAAATATTGAATAATTTCTAGATATATTTAATTTAATCATATGAAACATTATTTGAGTGCTTTTGTACTACTGTAGAGTAACACCTATATTAAGCTGCTTGAAAGTAGGCGATGATGGCTCATATTTCCTGTACTGGTAGAACCTTGATATTAATGACCTAACCCAAATACAGTTACAAGTTGTGTTATTACTGTATAACTTTTGACAGTTCTTATAACATAACATACATGTCGAAGAATGATATTCAAAGTAACGTAGTTGGTCGGATTTATGCACTTTTCAATTGTACTGTAGTCCCGTCCCGCCCCCCCCCCCTGGACACGGGCGGGGAACTAGCCGGGTCTGAGCCGGGGATGTACACATAGTTCTGTCCCCGTAGTGCCAGGACGTACCTAAAATTTACCTGTAAATGTAACAGGCCTCGGAAAGGCCGTGAATTTTACACGTTAAGAGTAGCCGGGGTTTCGGGTGTATTGGCCTAGTGCTGTCAAACCGTGTCTGGTCCTACACTAGGAGGACTAAGCATTCAGTCAGCAACTACTCTGTGTTTTGGTAATTAATAAATCGCCTACCGGTGCTTTAGGCCTACCATCATGGTTTTATTTTTTATAGATCACGGTATAAATTACATAATAAAATTTGAACCTCCAACCACAAGGACCGAAGTGGTGGTATGTGCGAGTGTGTTGCGTGAAAATCTGTGAACAGTGAATATGACCTAGTTTGCATCAAAAATATGCCAGTACATGTGCCAAGGCAAGGAAATGTGTTTCTAATGTATTCATTTTCTTAAGTAGGCCTAATTTCTGTTTTTATATTGAATAATTAAATTCTATCAATCAGTTAAATCAATCAATCAACTATTTTCTTTTTCTATGATCAATCTGTCAATACACTCTTTTTTTTTTGCACTTCCAAACTTCCATGGAAATCTGCTTAGTAAAAGCTCTCACATACATATGCTTCTCTGATTTCAGACCTACTGTAGGCTACCTAGAGCTTCTTTATAGCACGTAGCCAGGCCTAACGTACTATAACGATATTGTTAAGTCATGGCTAGTCTAGACTAGGCTTTCTTCTGTTAGGACTACCAATCATTGACAATAAACAAGCCAAGTACTTTAAAGTGTAAGACAAGCAAGCAAGACATCCCACAACTCCCTGAGAATACCTACCACGAACATCATAAAAAAAATATCCACTCGCCACGGCAACAACACCACGTTTCACCTTGTTGTTGACTGATCGAACACCAGTCGACGTGCTGTGTGGGGGAAAGGCTACCTAGGCCTATATCAGAAATATACTGTAAGATCGCTTTAAAAATCCTCGAGATTTATTTCTGAAAATTGTCAGTTGGCTCTACAGTTTACTCAAAAATGTGTTGATCAATGATGATAGACTAAACGTAAACTACCTAGCGTACAATGCAGTGGGATCGTTCCCGCCTAATTTGGCACTCATTCAAGAAAAATTACCAATGAATCAAAGTGCGCAGACGTAGAAGTAAGTAGTTACTTTTCACGCATGTGCAACTTAACCATGTGAACGAACTCGATGTGCATGTGAACATCATACAGTGTACACTTTATTTAAATAATAGATAATGTATCATAGTTACACGTTCCAATATGGTTATTACATAATTCCATCACACACTGTTCAACGCAAACTATATCAGAAACAACTTCTAGTACTAAAACAAGAAATACGAAAAAAAAAAAAAAAAAACACGAAGGAGGCTGGAGCATTAATTATCGATCGATGAATACTGTATCCCGCGCCAATCAGACTACTAAATAAATTACACGCTTGACTACACACTATGTAAACACTACTATTGCCCCCTCGGGGGAAAAGACACTAGCCTATGTTTAATGATCTGGCAGTTAAAGATGGCGGAAAGTGTAAATACCAGGCCCGTAGCCAGGTCATTTCAAGGGGGGTTCTCTGGGCGTGCGGCCAGAGGTGGCACCAGGATTTGCCCCGGGGGGGGGCGAGGTCCCCGACCGGGGGAGGGGCGGTGCCCCCACGAGGGGCCAGATTTCCCCAACGAAAGCAAAGTGGGCGTGGTCGAGCTTCAATTAATAGGTTCCAAAAGTGGTCATGGGGGTGAAGCAACCGAAAATTTTGACAATTCAGGGGTTTCAAAGGCTTATTAAATCGATATTAGAGTCTACTAATAATATGTAAAAAAAATACATATAAAAAGCCAGAGCAGTTTTTGTGTTTAATGGGTCTATAATAATGTTATAAAAGCAGTTTGGCCTATGTTTTGAAAAAGATCTATGTAATGAAAAGGTGGTAATATAATAAATTTAGACAAATATTTTCTGAGAATTGGCATGTTTAAATCACACCGAAAGATATAAAAAAAAAAGCTCATCGCATAATCAATATCAATATACTCAACACGTTTATTATTATAAAACAAAAAAAAAGGTATTCTTTTTCCCCCTCTTCTTCTTATTCTTCTTCTACTACTTCTTCTTGACTCTCATAATAATAGTACTATTTTACTACATGGCTAAAAAAAGCACAAATACTGCCATTACTACTGAGAGGGCCATCGTTAAATTAAGTCAGAGCCCAAAATATAGCATAATTCGAAATTATTATTTTAAGACTTTATAACATAATACATAGCCTACTGATTAATAATAGCTGAGATGCACATTTCATAATTAATAATCGTTTTTAGTATATCTTACTGAATATTTTATTGTCTACAAAATGAAATATGACTTATATGCATCTTTAGAAATACAATTTCTACAATATTATTCTTGTTTTTATGTAGATAAATGTTCGATAAATTCTATCTTTCATAAAAAAAAAAAAATTTTTTTAAAACGAACGAAATTCAGCGGGTCTATTTTCATTCTAATCAATGGCGTTTGTAAACGTGCACGGGTACGTCATCGTCGAATCCCAGGATTTCCGACGGCAAAGCTGGCCTGCCTGCCTAGGTCCATCCCAGGCCAACCAATAATTAACAAAATTTATTTTTTTAGATATAGGCCTATGGCGCATCCTGTACATGCACTTCAACTTTTACAACAAAAGCCTAGGCCTACCTGTAGTACGTTCTACTGTACTTAGGCCTACACTAGTTTGTTGTCGTCGGGGTATAATTCTGTATCTAAATGAACGAGGAGCGAACCTAGCTAGTCAACATCTAGGTTAGGCTAATTGATTTTAAAATCAATAACCCACCAGGACATCTGTGGTTTTCTTCTTTGCAACAGCGGACCAAAAAGTCAGTTATTCTACAACGTTTCATGATTCTTTATCACTAAACATTAACAAACACTCGTTTTGACGCACTCCGTTCTGTAGTGTGTCTGCTGTTGAAAACAAAATTCCTAGCCTAATTTTGTGACTGGCTATGATGACTGAGATGGACTATGTTGATTTATAAATAATATTTTGTTTGGGATGAAAAAAAGGAGAGTCCATTTCCCCAAAATGCTCCATCAGCACATAGTTTAGTGTGCGCTATGGACAGTATGGCTATGGAATTTACTAACCACACACTCCACATTTAGGTGATTAAGTCGCAAAACTTTATCTGCATTTGGTGGATAAGTCGCAAAACTTTAGCTTCGTTTGGTGGCACCATTTACTCTAGGTAGACGGCGACCGGTTTCGTTACCGGTTGGTACATTTCTTACAAACATTCAGCCAAAGGCCAGTGAAAGTTTAGACGGCAGCCGGGTTTTTATCGATGTTTGCCATCCTTATGTGTGCCATCGTAAATTCATGGTTTGCTGGAATTGCGTTCTAATTTAAATCTCCGAACTTCTGAAGCTGAGATATTCTATGTGTATAAGAGACAGAATGTAGGCTTGTAATGCAGGCTCATTGAAAAATTCGAGGGGGTTCGCTAGAAAACAGGGGGGTTCGCTAGAAAAGGGGGGTTCGCCCGAACCATAAAAACCCCCCCTGACTACGGGCCTGAATACGGCGGAGGAGCATGATGGGTCATGTGTCATCTTAAGTACCTTAGTGTACTCTATAGAGAAAAAAAATAGTACTGTACAAAAGTAATAAAAAAAAATACAACACTACTCATTTCCTGATAACACAGTGGATACTTTATTAGCAAGCATAATACAGTAAGGCAGATAGAGGTTACACGCTCCCGTTGTGAGTCTATTCTTTTAAAAAGAACCAGCAGGGGTAGATCAAGTGGGGGGGGGGGGGGAATATGCGTCCTGTCTCTTATACACATCTAGGGGTGAATATGCGAACTGAGTGAGAGTCTCAGGAAAGAGCCACTGGTATGGGTGTAAGGGGTTAATCCACCTTAAACCTCCAGCACCTTCATAAATTTTAGTGTGTAGGCCTATTTCACCACTTACCTCCACCTCTAAATCCGTATGAACCAGTAACATTTTGCCCAGCTCTACTCAGTCTTCTGTTTTTTAAACCGACTTCAGACTCAAAATGTTTCAGTATTTTGTCACCTATCCTATTTTAACATACGTTTGAAAACATAGAAAATTATTATTGTACAGCAGTATAGGCCTATACTATACTGTATTATAGAGGGTATTATGGTATTACATAGTCACATTGTTGGACTTTCAATTAACAAAGATAAAAACCTCATTTTACATTTTTACCTCAGCCTCAATTTGTTCTTATTTTGTAAGCAATATCAGCCTCAGTGTTCTATCTACAAAATGTGTTGAAGTGTACTTACACAACATATTATTATTAGGGCATGTGGTGAAACAGGTAAGATCTAAATAACACCAAATCAATTTTAACGTGGCAACCGCCCAATTGATTCGTTTTCAAGATTATATACACGTGCCAGTCAACTGCAGTCAAAGATGGGTCAAGGTATGACGTAAACAGTTGTGACGTTGTATAATAATAGTTATTTATTTGGATATATGCACTTTTAAAAAATACACAACCACAATTGCGGTGCATTCAAACTAACATAACAAAGGATATTTTTTTTTAATCACAAGCAAAATGAAAGACAACAACTTAAAGCCAGGCTCCGGAGGAAAACAATTTTTGATATGTTGTAGAACTGATTTTTCTAAGACAGAAAAAAGTTTTTTGACGAAAAACTGAGCAACGGTGAATGAGATACAGATTTTTGAATATTTAAAAACTGGGGGAAAAAGGTGTAAAAATGGGAGGTTAAGCCCCCTTTTCCCCCCAGTTTTTAAATATTCAAAAATCTGTAGCTCGTTCACCGTTCCCCAGTTTTTCGTCAAACAACTTTTTTCTGTCTTGGAAAAATCAGTTCTACAACATATCAAAAAAAAT